CCTCTGGGGTCACTGATGTTTGCAAATGGCACCCAATAGAAAGGCCAGTGTGGTGAAGTAAATAACCCACTGTTGATACAGAGAATAGGAGTACCCCGGTGTCTTCTATCGCACCACCAGAAATCAAATCAGCAATAGAATTCTTGACTTGTCAGTCTCCTCAGTGCTCCATTTAATTTCTATGTAAAATATCAAGTTATTTTTAAATCTTCTTTTGGGTTATTACATTTCTATTCTATTCTGCATCCACCTCTCTATTTTCTTAAATGAATGCTTATGAAACGTTACTTAGTGTTGACATTCTCCAACTTGGTATTCCGAGCCTGCTCTCAAATTTTATCACATGCACCTTGTTCTTTACATATAATCAATTATTCTGTCAAAGTTAATAATGTAACTACATTTTTTTCAGAGATGTGCTTCTATTTTATATGCATATATTTATCATAGCAGTGCCTTTTGAATTTTGATAAGAAGCTTAATCAAATAAGCTTTGAGAGACCTTATTGAATTTATGCTAGACTTACTTTTTAGAAAGTCTGTGACTGTAAATGATATTTTGTCCTAAAATGTTTATTTTTTATTTTAATATAGTCTGTCTATGGTTTACAAAATGATATTAGAAGTCACAGTCCTACCCACACACCCACACCAGAAACTAAACCTCCAACAGAAGATGAGTTACAACAACAGGTGAGTCAGCCTATGAGATGACCTGTTAAAGGTTTACAGAGTAACAGCTATGAAAACCGAGAGTAAATGTTAATAGTGGGTATTTTTAAAGGTTATTTGTATGATTGCCTGTTTCATATGGAAGATTTGCAGTTAAAAGATAATAAAATTTTCTAATTTTAAGTATTGTAATTACTTGAAAATATATCAACATATGGTAATGATTTTCAAAACCCCTCACTCTTTATTTACCCAAATCCTTGTTCCTCTAACCAGTTGTAAAAATCACCTATGCTGATTTGTAGGTGACTCCATCATCAATAGTTACTTTGTACCCTAAAGCTCTGTTTTAAAGAGTAAGAAGACAAGAGGTTGAGAACATTGTCACACTTCCCATATCCAATGATAGGACATTTTCTTCAAAAGAGTGCTTATTCTTCCTTTCCGCAGTGGTGATTTCTCTCTACCTCTTGAAGTTTTTTCTTATCAACACTGGTGTACAGTCATGGAGTCATGCTAATACTATCCAAGTAATATTATAATAATATCCAAGTAATAGTTCAAAGCAAACGCCAGTGTCTCAAATCAAATAATAGTTAAATTTCTTGATTGGTTCAGTCATGGGGCTTTATTCTCATTTTGACTCTTTTCCCTTAATATTTTATTATAATACGGTTTATCAAGAGTGTAATATATACTTTTCTAGTAGATTTATAATAATCAGGAAGGAAAAGTCATCCAGAGAGTTTTTAATTAAAGTTTTCTGTGCATGATTATTCCATGTGAGCTTTTGTCATGAATTGCTGATAAAAATTATTCTCAAAACACATATTGATGCTTTCTTGGTATTAGGAGATAGGATTTATTTTGAAATTATAGTAATATATAATTTTCTAAATTTGGAGGGAAGTATGATTCTGGATTTAGGTATTCACCATGAATGAATGTTTAAAATCTCTACAATTTTATTTTTTATTTTTTTGAAACAGAGTCTGGCTCTGTCACCCAGACTGTAGTGCAGTGGTGTGATCTCAGCTCACTGCAACCTCTGCTTCAAAGTCCCAAGTGATCCTCCTGCCTCAGCCCCCAGAGTAGCTGGGACTATACTACCTGCAGCACTACACCTGGCTAATTTTTGTATATATTTTTATAGACAGGGTCTCACTATGTTGGCCAGGCTGGTCTCGAATTCTTGGGCTCAAGTGATGCGCCCACCTCGACCTCCCAAAGTGCTAGGATTACAGGC